TGAAATACAAATTATCTATTTTATCAGTTTATTATTTAGTGTATGTTTTAAATTTTAATAGTACTATTAAGAGTTTCTTAAAAGTCTTTTGTAACTTATTAATAATAATAAGTGGTTTAAAACTAAAGAATAATAACTTTAATTAATAATAACATCAATTTATAAATTACATAACGTTAACAACAAATAAATTGTATTCTAATTGAAGGTCATTATTGAAATTAAAAAATTATCGCATAAGTAAGAATTTAAATTAATCAATCATAAAAATTGTTAAAAATAATATTAAATAGATAATTATATTTAATTTTATTAATGAGGAACATGGATTGATGCCAATGAATAATATTGTTCAAAATATTATGTCAAAGTTAATGTTATTAATATAACCATTTTAAATATATATTTTTCAACATTTTAACAATATATTTTTAACCTAAGCTGCACAACGCGCGGGAACTCATCTTGTATCTTATAAAGTTAACATTTTTCATTGAACCTCATGCATTTGAAACTCCCAAGACTATATAAATTCATTTTTGCTCAAACCACATTCATTTGAAACCTCCATCTTTTAACTAATACAACTCAAAATTATTCTTAATAATGATTTACCACTCAAAGGTTTTATAACTTATATTGTAATTAAACAAATCTTTTTTACTTGTATGGATTTACAAGGGTAGAATATGTTGCACTTTACACTTTTATAATTCATTAGTTTAAACACAATTTGATTATAAAAACATAAATAATCAAAACGATAAATAAATCTCTTTTACTTGTATAGGTTTATAAGGATAGAACATGTTGCACTTTACACTTTTATAATTTATTAGTCTAAATACACTTTTGATTATAAATAAACATGAAGTCAGAACCACAAATAAATCTCTTTTACTTGTATACGTTTACAAGTGTAAACATGTTACATTTTACTTTTATAACTCATTAGTTTAAACATACTTTTGATTTTAAAACTTATAGAGGCAAAACATGTAAAGTTCACCAACATTATAGTTGACGTATTGTTTTCAAACGTATGTATCTTCAAAAACTTAGGAGTTGGAAGACACACCATGCGCGTCTTAGAATTATGCATTTCCTTGTTTAAATATTTGGCTAATATGTTAGGCGGTTAGACCTTTTGTTTCATTTTGACTTATGTTTGCAAAACATGTTTTAGTAATTATCGCCTTTTAGTTTGACAACAGTGTAATTCCTCGTATCGGATTTATGGAAGAATGTAATGTATCATAAATCCTTGTATTATTCAATATGTGTTGTTAACTTTGATCAAACTTTGGTGTCGTAACCCCGACGGTCGGGTGTAACACCTTCTCGTTGGAAAGCAAGATGCGACTACGGTTTGATTTTTGATATAGGTTGTTCTTTTAGATAATGTTATTTGTAGCCTGCTACCCTCTCATCGGGAAATAAACATGATTACTTGGGAATAAAGGACGATGATAATGTTTTGGTCTCTATGTGTTTGCTTTGAGAGAGTAGGCAAGAGAGACAGAAAGATAGGGGTGATTTAATATTTTTCAAGGTTTTTTTTTTCTAGAACCATTTTCAAAAAGCTCCGATTTTGCAGGTTTTCAAAAAGATCAACCACAATTTTTTTTTTATTTTTGGAACTATTTGGATTTCAGATTGATTTTCATTGAGTATGATTTTTGAAACGATTTTGGGATTTTTGAAATGATTTCTAGTTTCTAGAATCAATTGGATCATAGGTTTCAGGATTTATTTTGATTTCTAAAACTGGGGGTGAAAATGGTGTAAATCGGGGTGGTCGGAGAAGATGACCGAAGTAGGATCCGAATTAGGTGGAGAAGAGCTTATTGAGAGAGGAAGATAAGTGGTGGGCGTGTACATGGTTCGACCTACATATCCACCTTTAGGGTGATTGGGGGGGGGGGGGGGGGGGATGGACATTTATTTTCATTTTTTTCAACAAATGAAAATAATTTATAAGTAATTCAAAATAAATTGTAAGGGTAATATAGTTATTTTACATCTGATAAAGAATAAAATATGCAAATTTAAATTAACGAGAGATAAAACATATAAATTTTAACCATGCAAAAAAGATGGTCTGAATTTATTTTGAAAATAAGAATTAAACGTTTTTCATAATTTCTGCACGAAAGACAATTCATGTAATTTACTAAAAAAATATGGAAAAACTACAAATACAATTACCTAAAAACACATGAAACAATGGGTAATTTACTCTAGTTATTATAATTTCTTGATAAAACGTTTAAAGTTATTTATATTGCAATAAATTAAAAAACATCTTCCATGTTTGTTGCCGGAGTCGGCATTAGGACCTTAATGTCATGCCAACTCTATCTCACCTACATTCTTTTTCCCCACACGGTGGATAATATTATTACTAATAAATTATTATATAAAATAAATAAAATTTTATTTATTCTAAGATTTTTTATTCCATATTTAGAAAAAAAGAATATCTATCATATATCCTTTCCATACTTTAACTTATAATTTTTTTTTCACCTTTAGTCAAATTACTTTTCTATATTATGCATTACTGACTTGTACAATACAACATTTTAAAACACAAATTGTTGTGTATGAAAAAAAAATATTGTTTACGAATCAGTTCCTATTAATACAAAAACAAATTTATGATTTATGTTCGATAATTAAATTGGAAAGATGCAAGGCTGTCAACTAAAACGAGTTTTAAGATAAGCTAAAAAGCTGATTATTATGTTTAAAAAAGTATCATTTTAAAATCAATCATATTTTAAAATTTTTGTAAATACTAAACCTACCATAAGTGGTAATAAACAAATAACTTAATTGATCGGATAATATATATAGAGTGGAAACACATGAAACTAGGGGTGTAAAAGAGCCGAGCCGAGCCCGAGCCTGACCAAGCTCGAGCTCGGCTCGTTTCTCGAGCTCGATTCGAGCCTTAAAATGAAGCTCGAGCTCGGCTCATGAGAAATTTAGTGGGCTCGCGAGCCTAATCGAGCCTAAACGAGCCTCTATGCATATATATATATATATATATATATATATATATATATATATATATATATGTGTGTGTGTGTGTGTGTGTGTGTGTGTCTATATATATATATATATATATATATATATATATATATATATATATATATATATAGAGAGAGAGAGAGAGAGAGAGAGAGAGAGGCTCGTTTAAGCTCGTTTAGGCTCGCGAGCCCCATTAATTGAAGCTCGGCTTGAGCTCGTTTAGTAAACGAGCCTCATATCTAGGCTCGAGCTCGGCTCGGGCTCGTTTAATTCGATCTCGAGTCGAGCTTTTAACGAGTCGATCTCGAGTAGCTCACGAGTAGCTCGGCTCACTTACACCCCTACATGAAACTAGTGGAAAAGATTTTCAACTTTGGTTATGGGCCTACGACTACGAACAATCATCGGGGCCAAAATCCTGTGACCCCAAACTCGATTTACACCAAACCTTTAAGAATTTTTGGTTTTTATTCCATTTTTTATGTAAATCATGTGGAATCTAGGATTTTCCTTGATCACGTGGCATCTTAGGTCAAGATTTTCAATCATTTAATATCTTACATGCCGACTTTTGAACTATTTCTATTTGTATAAATACCAAAAATAGAAACCGTCTTCTATAAAATTTTGTACCATTGTAAGTTTTAACTTTTAAGGGATCTAATAATATTATTTTCAGCATAAAGCGTATGTTGTATACATTTTGTTTGCTTCTGTTTTTCAATCACGAAACGTGTACTCTAAAATAATATTAAGGTTTTAGACGTAGGATTGTTACTAGATGAGACTATTGTTAAAGTGGCTCTTGTTTACTGCATGTCTTAGTTAAAATTTAACCAATCTATAGTTGAAACTTGAAACTCACAATCGAAACTTGAAAGTGCATGTAAAAGTAAGTCATTTTGACTAATATAGATCCTTAACAGATTAAGAGATAAACATAGGATTAAATGATTATGCATCTTTTAACTCCAAGTCATTAACACAAGAATACACCATTTTATGAAATCTCACCATATATCTTTTTACTAAAACTCAACCAAACAATGTTATATTATGTATTATGTATGAAACTTTATATATATGCATACCTGTTTTTTATTTAGGGTTAGTGACTTATAAAGGTAATGTATTTTGCACAGTGTCCAAATTTAGTCGGAATTTTTTTTTTGTACACGATTTAACATTAAACACATATCATGTTAAAAAAATAATATTGTGACTAAATGTGTTGCAGGTTTAGCCGGTTTTTGGTATAAGTTGCACCAAGGGCCAACATCTCAAATCATCTTCTTCGGTCGTTCTCAACCAACAAAATTAATTTTCGGACACTAAAACCCATATAAATAATTAATATATTAGGTGAAGATTTTTGTTTGATTTTGGAGCACCAAAACTCAAATTTGCAAGTTTAGAAATTAGGATCACAAGTTCTTGAGTTCGTTAGCTTACACGATGAAGATCTGGTGATCTTCATAAGCTTCTATTCACTAAGAACACGATGAAGATCAGGGTTGTTCCAAATATATTTTGGACCCTAGGCGAAAGAAAAAAATAAGCTCTTAAAATGCACAAATATCATCAAGATTTTTGTAATAACTCGATAATTGAAACAAAATTACTTGTACTATCTTCTAAATATAATAATTTTTATAAAAAAATTGGGCTCCTTTAAAAGATGGATCCTGGACGACCGCTCCTATCGCCCTCCATCTGGGACAGGCCTGATGAAGATCGTTCTTGAGCTTGTATTTCGTAAACCACATAAATTTTTTTTTTCAATGATTAATTATAAAGACTTGATTTGCAAACAATAATTTTTCTTTACATACAACAGTTTAAATTTTAAAATATTATATTATAAATCTCCATAAAACATAAATTATTATATATAAAAAATTTAAAAAGATTTTCCATCTTTTTCTTGGGCGACAAACACCGGCATATGAGCCAAAACCGGCTGTAAATAATACAAATTGTATGCCGCACCTTGGTCACTAAGATCTGTGTCTTTTGTTTCATATTTTCACAGTAATATATGTATTATTATTAAATTATCGAATAATATTGACGGCAGGTAAATACTAAATAAATACTTTGAAGTTTAATCATAAACATTCTTTATCAAACTCTTTTTCTTCTATCAAAATCATTAATAAAAAGCACAAGATATAACATACGGCGTAATAGGTTTTCTTCAACATTTTCCCCATTTGGCATTTTAAACTTTTAATATTGGTTTAGGAGCATTATTCATTTATTCTCCCATCACCATGAATCCCTTGAGCTAAATTGACACGCACTCAAACTGGCATCAGGTGCTCTGTTTTTCTGCGCACAATCTGTTCGATGAAAAGCCTCACAGACACAGACAAGACAAAACAGAAACATTGCTCGTGGATGAACTAATATAATTGGGCCATAGAGCTTCATAATTCATCAAATCTGTCTCGTGCATAAATTATGATTTTTCATCTTTAAAATCACGGATGTTTTCTACACCTTAGCTTTCAAGTTTTCTTTACGAAAGCCTCGATTTTTATGGTATCTCATTTCCCGTTGAATATTTCTTTTTAATTTTGATGTTTTGACTGAGCAATATGACTCTGTTTCAACTTCAGTCAAGCTCAGGTATTGACAAGAAAACTTTTTTTTATAAAATTTTAATCTTTTTTTTTTTCGAAGAACTGGTCACATGTTTGACCTGGACTTCATGGTTTAAAAGGAAGGGAACCACTTTAAGTTTCGTGATCAAGTTAATGAATTAGAACTTGTGTTATTTTTACCTACTTCACATGATTCTTGTTACTTTTTGAATCAAACCCATTAATGGGTATTCATCAATAGTGGTCTGCAACTCATCACCGGTCAATTTTCCGGTGATTCATCCCCCTTTTCAGTTTTCTTCTCCATAACCATAAACCATAAACCATAAACCCTCCTCTTAAAAGACTGAAACCCAATTCCAAGATTCAGTCTTTTGCCATTATCACCATGTCATATGCCAATTCAAGATCTGTAAGGTATTTTCGCTTTCGAATCTTCTTAACAGTTTCAGTTTCAGCTGTTTACTTGGTAAGTATCGCTTCAATTTATGCTCAATTATGAATCGTTTTGACTTGGTCAAACTCTTGAATTAGTTTAGTGTAATGGCATTTATTATGCTCTAGTTCTTGTAGTTTTTGAGTGTTGATCAAATTTTAAAAATTGGGTTTACGATTATGAGAATTTTAATTCTTTGCCTTGATCAAATTCTTTAGATTTCAAGATAATGGTGGGCTATCAAAACTTCCATCCACGAACAAAGACAACTTATTTAAGATCAAGCAAGTTTCTGATCAAAGAGCAGAGGAAAATGAAAGCGGGGGGTCTTCATTAAAATCAAAAGTTCTTTCAAGAGTTTTCTCTGAAGATTACGAGAGAGTTAAAAAGAAAATCTTTGATCCTCGAGGCTTAGCAATTCGAAAATGGAACAATATGTTCTTGTTCGCATGTTTAATCTCTTTGTTTGTAGACCCTTTATTCTTTTATCTCCCATCTGTTCGAACAAAAAACGTTTGCATCCATATTGGATTAAACCTGGAGATCAGTCTCACCATAGTAAGATCAATAGCCGATATTTTTTACATGATTCATATTTACATTAGATTTTCTACTGCCTATGTTGCACCATCTTCCCGTGTTTTTGGAAGAGGCGAACTCGTTATAGATTCTTCCAAGATAGCTAAAAAATACATACGAGGTGGTTTTTTGATTGATGTCATCGCCGCCTTACCTCTTCCTCAGGTATACATGATTTTAAGGTTGTGTTCTTGTTTTTACAACGAAATATGAAATGATAACGTGTTTTGATTGTTTGTTTTTGTGGCTAATGTAGATGTTAATCTGGCTCATTATACCGAGTTTAAGTGGCTCAACCATGGCTAACACAAAAAACGTTCTTCGGTTCATCATCATCTTTCAATATCTCCCGAGACTTTATCTTATATTCCCTTTAACATCAGAAATTGTTGGGGCTACGGGTGTTATAACTGAAACTGCATGGGCTGGAGCTGCCTATAATCTTATGTTATACATGTTAGCAAGCCATGTAATCATCTAATCAACCTTCATCTTGTGTTTGTTACGTTGATTTAAAAGAAAGAATCTTGTTCTAAAATAATTGTTGTTTTTCGTTGCAGTTTTTAGGGGCTTCTTGGTATGTTTTATCGATAGAGAGACAAGAAGCTTGTTGGAGACACGCATGCCTACTTGAGGATCCACATTGTCAGGATAAATTCTTCGACTGTGAAACATTTGGCGACAATAAGAGACAGATTTGGTTCAATTCAAGTAACGTCTCAACACAATGTGTTCCAACAAGCGGGTTTTATCAATTTGGTATCTATGGTGAAGCTTTAACATCAAATGTTACTTCTGCGTTGTTTTTCAATAAATACTTCTACTGTCTTTGGTTCGGCTTAAAGAATCTTAGGTAACAATCATATATGAATTACATCATCATTTGTTAAATTGTCACTGATTTTTCGTCTGTAGTTCTTTAGGGCAGAATTTGTTAACGAGTACTTACGTCGGGGAAATCATTTTTGCGATCATAATAGCGATTGTGGGGCTAGTGCTGTTTGCGTTGTTGATCGGAAATATGCAGACATATCTTCAATCGACGACAGTTAGATTAGAAGAATGGAGGGTCCGGCGAACTGATACAGAACAATGGATGCGTCATCGGCAGTTGCCACCGGAGCTCCGGGAAGCTGTTCGGAGATACGATCAATACAAATGGGTAGCTACACGAGGGGTTGATGAAGAATCGCTTCTCAAAGATCTTCCTTTAGATCTCCGACGAGATATCAAACGACACCTTTGCTATGATCTAGTTCGACGAGTAAGTTTTATCCCCAAATAGTTACAGTTTATAATACCTTCAAATTTAGATGTTCTGATAATGATGATGATGGTGTAGGTTCCGTTGTTTGATCAAATGGACGGAAGGATGCTGGATGCGATCTGCGAGCGATTAAAACCGGCGTTGTGTACGCAAGGCACGTGTTTGGTTAGGGAAGGTGATCCGGTGGACAAGATGCTATTTATAATTCGAGGAAACCTAGATTCCTACACCACAAACGGCGGCAGAACAGGGTTTTTCAACTCATGCCGAATTGGTCCCGGCGACTTCTGCGGCGAGGAGCTTCTGACGTGGGCCCTGGACCCACGGCCGAGCGTCGTGATTCCGTCATCGACTAGAACCGTGAAGGCGATTTCCGAAGTGGAAGCTTTTGCGCTCATAGCGGAGGATCTAAAGTTTGTGGCGTCGCAGTATCGGAGATTGCATAGTAAGCAATTGCGGCATAAGTTTAGGTTTTATAGCCACCAGTGGCGGACTTGGGCGGCGTGTTTTGTGCAGGCGGCGTGGAGGAGGTATAAACGGAGGCAGAATGCAAGTGAACTTAGGGCTCGAGAGAGTTTTACGAGCACTGATTATGAGTCGGAAGTTAATTCGCCGGCGCATGTCAGTCAAATGGTTTCACCGGAGCCGAGGTTGAGTGGATATCGTGCGAGTACAAGGAGGTCAGGGAACCTGCACTCAGTCTCAGGGACGAAATCAAGTAGTGGTAGCTCATTACAGAAACCAACAGAACCTGATTTTTCTGTAGATGAAGAATGATTGTTTGATAATCGAAATAAGAACGGGGTTAACGTTGTCTTATTTGTTGAATATTGTTTGGAACTAAGGTTCAATCTTACACTATAATTCAATGATAATATGTATTCGAATTGTACATAGATGCAAATATTTAAATTTTGTTTTAATCGAATACTATCCGTTTATAAATTAGACATTGACATGTAATTTATTATTCAGTGTCATCTTTGATATGCTGCTTGGTTCCCCAGTTTTAGCGAAAGAAAAAGAAAGAATAGAAATAAATAAAGAAAAGAAGAGAAATGATTAAATAAAAGGAAAAGAAATATATATTTTGTGTTTCCAGTTGGGAGAGAAGTGAGAACTTTCTCTCCAAAACCTTTCGAAGGAAAATTTCTTTCCACTTCTTTTCTTTGGTTGGACCGGCCCGTTGAAGTAATTGAAGTGTAAATTGGTAAAAAAGATTGGATCAACTAAGAACGCGGTTTTGCCTATTTATGAATCAGATTGTACCCCTAATCTCCTATAATACTTGAACTATATCATCCCAAGAGTAATTCGAAACCCACATCGGATATTCTCCACTAGTCGGCTCTTTCAATTGTTTTTTTAATTTCAGGTACAATATGACTACTATGTCTAAAATTAAGTTTACATCTCATTAACTAAAATCCCACCACCTTCACATCCATTAACTAATAAGCCCAAGAGTAATTTTAAGCCCACGTCAATGATTATGATTGTTTGAAAACTTTTTTTTTTTTCTAACAAAAACGTTTGAAAGTTTCTGAAGATTGATTTTTGCAAGAATCAATGTAGCTCATATTTAAACAAGTGTCTTCTTTATTATTTCCTGAAATATAAAAATTTTCATGTTAAGTAATTTTATTAAATTTACATATTTAAACAAGTTTCTACTTTATTATTTCCTGAAATATCAATGTTTCCCCCCCTCTCTCTCTCTCTCTCTCTCTATATATATATATATATATATATATATATATATATATATATATATATATATATATATATATATATATATATATATATATAAAATTAATTAATTAAATTTACATATTTAAACAAGTTTCTTCTTTATATATAAGGAGTTCAACCAATATGGATGGAGGAACCAAGGAACCTATTAAGATGGTTGGATCAAAAAATTAAAAGTCATTGGATTTGAGATGTAAAAGTATGAAAAACAATAGTGTGCAACTGATTATAACCAAACAAGGAACTTAATGGGGCATTTTCATCAACCTAAAACTTATTAACTCTCACGGAGAATTAACGACGTTAGTTCATCAGTTTCACATATTAGTGAAATCGATTTTACCCTCTCAATGATAACGATCTTTTACTTCACCGACGAACATCGATTTTAAACGCATCTCTGGCGACGATTCAGTCAATATCCACAGTCAATCTTGCCGAAAAGTTCGTAAAAATGAATCTAGAAGGTACATTTGATTACTATTCATTTCTGATTATCTCATTTAATGCATTTTAAACATTAAATTTTCCGATTGATAAATTTCAAAATGAAAAATCTAAATTATTTGTTACATTATGTATTTGATGAATCTGTGAATACACTATTTTATTAACAAAATCGTTTTAGATTGATTTCAAAACCTTCAGATGATGAACTTTTAATAATTTGTATACATAACGAAAACCTAATGATTTAAATTTCTTGAATCGATACAGAAATCATGAATATCTATATTACAAACTGTAATTTCCTAAAACTTTGTGAATCTAACTTGAATATGAGTTTATTAAGTAAATCGAAACCCTAATTTCATTAACTTTTGTGAATTTGTATAATTACCAAAAACCTAATGATATAAATTTCTTCAAATCGATACAAAAATCTAAAATATCTAAATTACAAACCGTAATTTCCTAAAAACTTTGTGAATCTAAGTGGTTTCTGAGTTTATTCATTAAACTGAAAAACTAATTTCACATTTTGAATTCACAGTGTGCTTTGTGATTTACATTTGATTATTTCGAAATGATTTAATATTTCTAAGTATTACATTATTTGACAATTCACAAAGTGAATCATGATTACATATCAATTTAACATATCATTTATTCAAATTGTGAATTCACAGGGTGCTTTGTCATTTACATTTGATTTTTTTCATCTTGTGCAAATTCACATTGTGCATCTATGTTTAATTGATATTGTATCTCTTATTGTGCTTCTCATTGTAAATTTATAAAGAGTTGTATTGGTAATGTTTTGATTCACACTGAATTCACAATGCAAATAAATATTATGTTAAACTCATTTGTAATCCTGATTCACATTGTGAATTACATGAATAAATCATAACTTTCATACCATGAAATTAATGTTTGAATTAATTTGTTAATCAAAAACAGAAAATGAAGAAAATATTAATGAAAAAAAGGATCATAAGAAAAGAATGAAAGTGACAAGAAATCTAAAAGATGTTCTACCTTCAACTACAAGTGGAAAAATTGAAGATATTCAAGATAAACAAAAAAGGTTAGAGCATTAGCATTTAGATTAAAATAACTAATTATCTAATCATATACTACACACTTATTAAAAAAAACTAAATCACAATGTGAATCTTGGATGTATATCTCACATTTTTCACACAGATTCAAAACTTGAATCTCTTAAAAAAAACTTTTTACAAGTTGATCAACACTTTTGTTTGTTTTCACTATGCACAAAATAATTGTAAAAATTCACCACGTGTATGTGTACATCACTTGGTGAAGCTCAAACTGTTTTGTTGTAAAATGCATAAATTCACAATGTGAATCTTTGATGTATATGTCACATTCACACAAATTCACAATCTGAATTTCTTTAAAAAAAATTTTTTGCAAGTTAATCAACACTTTTTTTTCACTATGCACAAAATAATTTTGAAAATTCACCATGTGTATGTGTACATAACTTGATGAATCTCAAACTGTTTTGCTGTGAAATGCATAAATTCACAATGTGAATATTGGATGTATATCTCACATTCACATAGATTCACAATGTGAATCTCTTAAAAAATTGCAAGTTGATCAACACTTTTGTTTGTTTTCACTATGCACAAATAATTGTAAAAATTCACCATGTGCATGTGTACATCACTTGGTGAACCTCAAACTGTTTTGCTGTTAAATACATAAATTCACAATATGAATCTTAGATGTATATATCACATTAACACAGATTCACAATGCGAATCTCTGAACAAATATTTGCAAGTTGATCAACACTTTTGTTTGTTTTCACCATGCACAAAATAATTGTAAAAATTCATCATGTGTATGTGTACATCACTTGGTGAATCTCAAAGTGTTTTGTTGTGAAATGCATAAATTCACGATGTGAATCTTCGATATACCTCATAGCCTAACAGATTCGCAATGTGAATTTCTAAAAAGTTTTTACAATTTGATCATCACATACTGAATTTTATATTTTTTTTGCCTGTATTTCATAATATTACATATATTTTTGACATTGATATTAAAAATTTCACATTGTGTAGTTGAAGGTTCAAAAAAATATACCAAAAACACAACAAGGAAAACCGTGGTGGAAATATTTAATAAATTAAGAAAAAATGAAGATGAAAAGACTATTGATGAAAATGTTGAAAAATAAAAAAGATTAGAAGTTTATGAGATTCAAAAAAAGCAAACAAAAAAAATTGATGAAGCAAAATGAATATGTTTTGAAGACACTTGAAAAGAAAACAACACAAGGTTAATATTTATAAAATTATAATTTACTTTAATATATAAAATCAGTTATTATTAAAATTTTTTAAATGAACAGAAATCAGGCAGAGTCCAAGATTTCAAAAAACAAAAACGAAAAAGTCGATTAAGCAAGACAAATATGTTTTCAAGACACCTGAAAAGAAAACAACTCAAAATGATTCTTATTAATTTTCTTAAATCATGAACAAAAAGCAGACAGAGTCCAAGACTTAAAATGATTGAATACAAAAAATATGTGACTCCTATTAAAGTTGATGATAGTCTTGTAAAGAAAGAATCTGATGAAAAAAAGCAACAGATTTGGTTATTACTATTCACATGTTTAATTTACAACGTTATAAACAAATTCGCATGTTTATTTTATGTATTATATTATATTTTGCAAAACAAATTCACATGTAATTTGTTGTATTGTTAGTTATTTTATAGTATATATATATATATATATATATATATATATATATATATATATATATATATATATATATGTTATAGTATGAAAAGCTTATGGAAATTATTACTAACAAGAAAAAGAAAAACAAAAACAAAGACTCTAGAAGTAGTCAAAGAAAAAAAAAGGCAAAAGTGCCCATAAATCCAAATGATTGAGTATCTTTGACAACAAGAATGAGCCTAAAGAAGTTTTATGGTATTGTTAAATCTTTAAACAAAGAATAGAAAAAAGCTCTTAAAGAAATGGGATTGGGATATTTGCTGAGAATTGCAACCAATGGAATTTATGGGAAATTGTTACGTTTTGTTGTGAATTCATTCAATCCATCATATATGAAAATGCATCTACCTCATACAAAGATAAACATAACACCATAACTTGTTCATGATTTTCTTGGAATTCCTCTAGGTGGAAAAGATACATATACATATATATATATATATATATATATATATATATATATATATATATATATATATATATATATATATATATATATAATACTGATCAATGTGAAGGAAAAGAATTAAAGGATTGGAAGCAACAATACAATTTCACGGCTATGAGACCATCAAATGTTGAAGAGAGAATTAAAGAATCATCAAATTCAAGGATTATTTTCATAACAAACTTTCTATTACTGTTTGTTAATAATATATATGAACAAAATAAGCCTGGAACTTATAAAACAACAGTATTGCCACATTTGTTAGGCAAAACACCTATGAAAGAAATTGATTGGTGTGGTTTTATAACCAATTGCTTGAAAATATCAAAGACGATGTGGGATGAAACCGATAGAGAATACTAATATTGTGGGCCACTTCTTGTATTATTGGTAAGGAAAATTCTTATAGTTAACACTTTTATTTATATTATTATAAGAAAACTAATTAATCATAATTTTGTTTACATAAGCAGCTAGCTTATTTGGAGTTTATGAGAAATGATAAGAATGAAAAAAGACAAATACATGCACTACATTTTTGGGATTATGACATGATGGTGAAAAGGGAAAAAGCTGAATTAAAGAGTGATGACTTTGGAACTTTGAAATGGAATGATGATGTTATAGAGAATGATGAAGAATCTAACACCGATGAAAATGAAGATATGAAACTCGATGTAAGTTAATAATCTATATAATTAAAAAAAAATTGAAGTTATATTACAAATATATGTTATAAAATTGTAGTTAAGATGAAATTCATAGAGTGATTCACATTGTGAATATAAAAGTGTATTTTATTACTTTTTCTATAATAAATTCACATAGTGAACATGTAATTTATTAAAATGCATTAAAAATGTGATACTTCATCAATGCATTCATATTGTGAAACTGTAATTTATTATAGAAAAAAGTTAAAAAATTCATTTTTATTTACGTTTTTTATTTCATTTCGCAGGAATTGGTATGCAAAGCGAAAAAGAATTACAAAAAACTAGTGAATGATAAAATGAAGTTTAAAAAGTTAATTGAGTTTTCAACAACAAAATTCATAGAAAGCGATGGGTTGAAAGATATGAAGAAAGTCTTTGAACAAGAATTCATTTATAAAACTCAAAATGAAGATGAAACAAATGCGATGAATGAAGATGATGCAAAAAGTGATAGGAATGAAGATGAAGAAAAAAGTGATGAGAATTTAAATAAACGTGAAATAAAGAATCAAACAATCATGGTAATACCAGGGAATTTGTACAATGATCCAATAGTGCATGAGATTGTTGATTCTATTCAATGTATTTTAAATTTTGATGATTTTGATGATTTTGAAAATGTAAAAAGTTTTACAGAACAAACAAAAAAACAATAATAGATTATAAAAAACAGAAAAAAAATACTAGAAAATCATCAATGCTTAGTTTTTTACTTGGACTTGGTTTTGGTCTACACAAGAGTTTCAGGAAGGAGATGAAAGCAGTGAAGATGAACACATAAAGAAAGAAATAAAAGATGAAAAAATTGATGAAGGAAAAAGTTATGATTCAGAAGAAATAGAATGTGACAATAATATCTTGGGAATTGAAGATGATGAAGACAAAAAAAAAAGAGCTAGGAAAAAGATTAAAAAAACCATCACTGAAGGTATCTTCTCCTTATAATAAAAGAGAGGTTTGTGCATCAAAAGTGGTAGATCCAGATGAAGTAAAAGTATCGGATAGAATTATTTTTTCCAAATTTGGTAATAGCAGGTAATAATTCATGTTATCTTTTCTTTAAATACAATAGTATATGAATACAAATATAAATTAATTTTCTATTAACTGTTTTTTTGTTCTATTTGATTACAAATTAAGTGAGAATGTATTTAAAACTAAGAGAGGTTATGTGCTTAGAAGAGGAATGATTGAAACAATGCAGGCAAGATTAGGGGTACATGCACATGTCATTGATGCTTAGTCTGATATTTTGAACTATGAAGAAAAGCTTAAATCAAATTCTATAGTGAATCGATATTTCTTTGATACATCAATGGTGGTAAGTTAATTAAAAAATATATATCATGATAATGTTGATAATATAATAAATAAAATTTTCAATAGTCCTAAATAAGTAATAAAATTCACACAGTGAATTCTATTATAATTCACAATGTGAATAATTTTAAAATTAAAATTTACCTTATTGTGAATTTAATAATTTACTCTTTAAATTTTGATGTATATTAAAAAAAAATTTGCAGAGACAGTTCATATTTGACAAAAATATCCCTTTCATTGAAAGATTTGATAAATTTGAGTCAAATATCAAAGATGCAATGAAAAAGGACAAAGAACTTCTGACATTTGAAAAGGTTCACTTGGTAATAAACTGTTCTTTTTGTTGAATATATTACATATTTTAAACAAAGTTTTACAATTAAAATTATTAAACATGTGTTTTTCCCAGTTCATAAAAAATCACTTTTACATCATCTGCATAAACTTAGAGGAACCAGCGGTTGATGTCATTGACAATAGGAATTCAGTTGCAAAGTTTTCTAGAGCTTATCGTGATGCACCTAATGAATTGGTAAGAATAATAAATTTACATTATAAATATAAGTATTAATAGACTGATAATTTATATAAAATAATAATTATAGAAAATGACAATTTCTTTTTTGCAGAAAATACTTTTTAGTAGGTACTTGATGAGGGTCAATCATAAATCAACTTTAATTTTGGAGAGTGTTGAACCAGAAAGGGTGAACATGAATTGATGCACGAGGGATAATCATGTTGATTGTGTAGTTTTTTGCATGCGTTATATGGAGACATATATGGGAGATAAAACAGTAAATTGGACATGCGGGTTCTCAAAAGAATCAAAACAACAACAAAGTGTGTTAAACGTTTTACGCATTAAGTATTTGACAAAGATACTATTAAGTGACGCAAACACATACAAGTCAAAAATCATTGCACAAACAGCTAAGTTAGCAAAAAAAGACTAATGAAGAAATAAAAGATTTGCTCAACAAGGGATGAGAAAAAGGGAAGAAAGGATATAGTACTTTAAGGATTGGAAAAAGAAGTGTAAGACTTAAAACTTAGTATTCTATTCATGATTAGTATAAGTTTAGATGCATTTTAATTTCTTTAAGAACATATACATGCTTGTTATGTTACAATTTGATGTGAGTTTCAATATCAAATATAATGAACTTTACTAATACTTAAAAGATGTTTATATTTTCATGTGAAAAGTATACATATATGTTATACAATTACATGTTTTATTAAAAGTATGCTATTGGTGTGTGGGTGGGTGGGGGGGGGGGGGGGGGGAAGTGATTATATTTCTACTTTGAATAAAGAATTGAAAGTACATTGTCACTTACATTTACCTCATTTCTTTTGGTCTAAATGATTAAATGTTAATATAATAACAATATAATATATGTAGAAAATTTATATTGTTTATATGTTAACCTTTTGAAAATTTTATATGTCAGATTCACAATGTGAGTTACAGTACATATTATAACATGTATATTTTATATGTGAGGTTCACAATGTGAATTACGGTACAAATAGATCATTAGAACAATTAATAGTTGAGATTCACAATGTGAATTAAATTACATTAAGACAACCTTTTACATGAAAATTTTATATATGAGATTAACAATGATAATTACTATACATAAATTAAATCATTAGCATGAAATTTTATTTAGAAAATATTCAAAAAACTAACAATAAAAAATATCTTTAACCAAAAACAATAAATTTGAAAAAAATATATATTCTATTATTAGAAATAAAGTCTAAAACAATGAATATCAAAATTAACATGAATATTTCAACATTTCTATCTATTGAATGATCATTACAAAAATCAAATCTTATTTTAGTAGTCTTATAAAGAAAAAATTAGAAACAATCAACTTTCTGTAACCTCATATTCTAAATCAGGCTTCTTTAACCTCAAAATGCAACTCTTAGCATTGTGATTTGGTTTATGACATAAACTTCACAACCTAGAACCCTTTTTAGATGTCTCAATCACCTTCTCTCTAGTACTCTTGATTCTTTTACCACTGGCCCATCCACTGTTTCTGATCCCCTGTGGATTATGAATCTTGATAACATCAGGTACTGCAGCTCCAATAATTTTTTCAATCATAACTGATCTACTCGAAGATGCCCTTGATGAGGTACATAAACGAATACCACTATCAACCTCCTAAATTTGCTTTATATATTTAGCCAACTCATCCTCATTATTTCCTATCTTGTTAATGGACAAACGAAGAATAGCATACGCATCTTGAATCAAACATTCATTTTTACTGCCTTTATGAGGATATGAATACTTTTTTCTCAACAATCCATCAGCTATGATATCTTTTCCCCGTCTCCTCAAAATGAAATTTGATGGAATTTCATGATACTCTTTCATATTTAATATGAAAAACATATGACGACATAACAATCCTTCCTGGACAAAAAGCTTGCAACTACAACTGATGCAAATTCTATCACCCATTCTACTAAATACAACCTACAAAATTATCATTAATAAACAAATTAATATGTGAATAAGAAATTCTATCTCATACCATTCGATAAAAATTATACAAATTAACATCGACTCACATTATTAATCAACAGGACATTAGAAATCATAATACTATAATATAAAATATGTACTTCAAATCAAACTCACAAAAAAAATACATATTCCATACTAATCTAATGAAAAGTAAAAACAATTTATAACTCTATAAGAATTCACACAGTGAATTAGCAAAACATCCTACATTCACAGTGTGAATTTTTAAACTACATTTTATATTTAATAAATTATATTAGGACAAAAAGACATACCTTGTAACGGATATTAGGACAATGAGAAGGAAGACTATTTCGATAAAAATCATCAAAATCTTCATCCTCATTCACATTTTTATCAATCAACTTGTTTTTTCTTCTAATCTCTCAAAACATAAACTTCACTTTCATCTTCAATAACTACAGATTCTTGAACACAATAAAACACGGATTTGTATAAATCTTTCTGAATGTCCAAGAAAATATTATGTGTATAAATTTCTAATGCATGTTTTTCAACAGCCAAAGCAGTCCTTAGCTTGGGGGTAGTAGTTGTGGACTGATAATTTAATAAAGATTGATGATGTCTTTGCTTCTCTATTGCACTATCAAACGACATCATGAACTTCACCAAATTTGATTTATGATGCAAAAAATGTGAGAAAGCATAATTCAGACTCTCTGATCTTGAAGTACTTCACATCAAACCAAAAAGTTCAAGATCTCTCATAAAAGCCGGAATCCAAAAATCCCTTATTTTAAAAACAGACTTTAACCAGTCATTTTCTTTTAGATGAAACTTATCTAACATTGTTGACTAGGAACTTTCAAAATCTCGTGGAGAACATTGAAGATTACATATAATATCAAAAATGTCTTCTGGAAGTCCGGATGGTTATAAACATCGATAGGAATCTAAAAAAGAGAAACACATAAGAATCATTATATATGTTGAATATTTGTTGTAATTCATAGTAACATAACATTTGTTTCACATTATGAATTCACAGTATGATTTATGATTTAGATTTGTTCCTTTCATCATATGCAAATTTACATTGTGAATTCACAATATGATTTATTGTAACATCCATAAAAATCATGCCAAATTTGAACTTTTAAAAAAACATAAAAAAATCATTAAGTTATTAAAATTCGTTTTCAAAATAGTATCATATCAGAGTTCTCAGAAATCATAAACATAAAACTGAGGAAGTGTACGATCACGCCTTCTCCTTCCCACGTTATTCCGAAGTACCTGAAACAATAATTGACAAATGTAAGCTCGAAAGCTTACTGAGTTACCCCCAAAATGCCAACGCCATTCATATATAACCATATCATATAACATATAAGCAAACAACATGCATAATGAGCCTTCATCCTGACTGGACTGTCTCGCAGGCCTTCAGCCTATCTGGACCGCTCTCCGAGCCTTCGACACATCTGGACCGCCTCGCGGGGCCTACAGCCTATCTGGACCACTCGCTGGGCCTTCGTCCTAACTGAACCCCTTTGCAGGACCTTAAGTTTATCGGGACCGCCCTGGGTGTTGGCCTTCAGCACAAAGCAGGACCACCTCAACCCAACCCCAATCAACAAACATGTGCACATACATATCATACATATCATATGCTAGCATATATAACAGTTAAACCGATCTAACCAATCACTAATCATAACAACATCCTATTACCATGATACAGACCTAACAGGTCACTAACATAGAATATCAGTATCCTAACTACCAGAACGTAAATCAATAAGCATATCATGCAATAAACCTGGATCCAAATTTGATAAGGGACGGAATTGGTGCCTTACACCCAGTTGATATATTGAGGATAACTCACCTCACAAGTAGTGCTGAAAGTACTGAAACCTATGATCATTTTCTCACCGGGAATCCCGAACTATCACATAATAAACACCAAGTCAATACATGAGATATCAGTCTTGACTAAGGGTCCATACAATCAATCATGTCCTTTCTCTTTATTGGGCCAGGCCCAATGCCAAAACCATTATCTTGAAAGTCCACAAGCAAGGCCCATTATTAGCCCAACTTACCCCATTGGGACCAACTCCTTATTTGGGCCTTATTCTAAGATCCATATTCAAAACTGGCCCAAAACACCCTTATTTAGAAAACCCATCAAGGCCCAAGTCTAACTAGTCCAAAGGTGGCCCAATCCCGAAGCCCATTTTAACAAAAGCCCAACAAAGGATGTACGTGGGGCGTACTCCTCTAGTACGATGGGCGTACTCTTCTTAACGTTGACCACCATCGGGGTGGTTAACTTAGTATACTGGGCATAATAGATTTACGTGGGGTGTACGCGGGGTTTTGCTAAAACCCTAATAAGTGCTTAATGACTTAAGCACTTAAGCCCAAACTTCAGATCCAGTGACCAAATGTGCCTAAGACTCATAAAGTCACGAACTTTAACACTTTTTACGTCCATAAAGCTCTTAATACGTGGTCTTAATCCATTAAGACCTTCCTACTCCATGTATGGGACATCTTAAGCCATTAGGACCTCATTTTTATCACTCGAAACCTCTTCAAGAGTCTAGGAGGACAATTTATTTTGTCCAAATCACATCATGCACCAACTTGTGACTTTTGGGACAAGAATTGGCTCCATAAAGTTAATATAGCAAGATATACTCCATATAAGCATAAAGTTTGAAGATTTTTACCTTATGGAGCTCCTATAGCACAAGGAAACTTCAGATCTACAAGCTTTCCTTCCTTCTCCAACTATTTGATGCAATGACTTCATCATCAAGAGCTCAAAGCACACATCAACTCACACTCACACACAAAACTAGGATTTGGGGCATTTCTGGAATATGGAGGCTGAGAATGATGAGAGAAAATGAGCCATAAGGATGTTTATATAGCCCCTAACCCTAGATATTAGGGTTTTCCTCCTAACATAAGTACGCCCAATATACACAACTACACAAGTGTACGCCTAGCATACTAAGGCACACCTTAATACGCTTAGCGTACTCTTATGAACGCTCAATGTACTCCTTCCTGGTTCAAGGTTGCATCCTTGGCCCTTAGACTTATCTTGGTTGTACACTTCCAACCTCAATGACTACAAGTGACAAAATAATGATAGGAGGGAGGATTTGGAAATACCTGTGAAAATCTCGGGATATTACATTTATGATCTATATAGTTATAAACATATATAGGAATCAAGAAACAAAGAATATACATTTTCCTAAAGTTTTTGAGTGATGTGCCACATGCATAGTCTATGCTTGGATTCTAGAAAAACAAAATAAACAGCTTTCTTCATTGATGAATCCTGATCTGTTACAATCATCGTGGGTGGCTTGACAAATGCTTTATCCTGATCTGTTACAATCATCATGGGTGGCTTGACAAATGCTTTATGAAACACTTCAAGCAACCACACATATGCATCTGCAGTCTCACAAGCTAGTAAACCAGCAACAAAAGTAACACAACGCTTGTGGTAGTCAACTCCAGTAAAAAGAACAAATACCATAAAATACCTGAATTTTTTTTATAAGTATTATCAAAAAGAACAAATACCATAAAAAGAACAAATAAGGATTAGGAATTACTTGTTTGTTTGATAAGTTGCATCAAAAGATAGTACATCTCCAAATTCCTTATAGTTGGCTTTCGAAGTATCACCAGCCTAAAAAAAGTCAAATAAGATGATCATCAACATCTTTTTGGACCTGAAATGAAAAATTAGAGAAACACAATCTTCTGTTTGTCAATATATCCACAACTATTTGGGAATCTTTGACACCAGTTTTAGAATTCAAATCTCTGTGAAATTTTTTAAAGTCAAATGCAGTCCTTCCCCTAGAATCAAAGCCACCCTTCGTACTACTCACCAAGTTATATGCTTTTGAAGCACCAATGTTACAAGTTCCAACCTTATGTATAAAGAATTCATCAAGAAAATCCATTGCCCTATTAATCCTTAATAAGTGCAACTGATCTTGAGCAACAAGTTCATGGTTGTGATCTTCAACAAACACATAAATGTAGAACATTAAAGAACATCATTAATTCTTGAACTTTGAAACAACAAGGCATCCGTTCTTCTTAGAAGAAGTTCTCCTTCTCTTAACATCTGAAAATTTCACATTAATATTTTCATTCTTGAACGACTCTGTGAAAATAGATCTACTACATGTTGAATATCTAATACAAATTGTGCCATCATTGTATCTTTTTTGACTTGACATATTCACATCAAAACCAGATTCTTGACCATAAGTCTTGTAAAAGTCAAGACCAATGTCCAACAAATCAAACAACAATCCTTTGAAAGGCTTCTTATGTATCAACTTATCATAAGGAACAAGCTTAAAAGATTCAGTATTGTAGAGCTGAAAATCAAAACTATAACGAGAATTACTGTTATTTGAATGATCAAAATCCATACTTGAAGATGATTGATCATGAACTGCAAAACCAAAAAAAAAACATCTATTTTATTACATTATATAAAAATGTGAAATTTATATTAAGAAAAAAACTTACGTGATTGTTCATTAATAATTGAATGCAAATTTGAACAAGAATTACTGCTATTTGAATGATCAATATTCATACTTGAAAAAGATTGATCATGAACTGCAAAAGAAAAAAAACATCTATTTTATTACATTACACAGAAAATGTGAATTTTATATTAAGAAAAAAAACTTACGTGATTGTTCATTAAAAGTTAAATGCAAATCTAAACAAGAATTCAGAGAACTCATAATGAATCGGTAACCTGGAGTTTATATACAAATTATAAATTTAGAATTGATATACAAAAAAGGAAACGAATAAACAAGATAATCACAAAACTTTAAAATATATGCACAAGATAAGATAAGATTCTCAAAATCACTAAAAGTTTGGAAAAAACTTAAATGTCAGAAGATGCACAAGATATAATTGATTATCTAAATGTCGAATATGCATTACAGACGCATGATTACAAAATTGACCAAATGAAAAACAGTAACATCAAACGGATATTCAACACATGACATAAAATTAGCAAAGTAACAATAAAAACATAACAATTTGAAGATTAAACGGTAAAATCAAGAGAATTTGACAATCAGACGATTACAATAACAATACAAATAAGTTGATAAACAATGCATCAGAAGAAAAACGGTAAAATCAAAGTCTATAATTGACCTAATAGTCATAAAAGAAAGATGAATAGATGTTAAAAATACCTGATTATTAGCTGAAATCTGAAGAAACTATTAGTAAATTGGATGAAAAAGGTTGAGATTTTGAAGAACGGGCAAGATTTTGGATCGATCAGTGTTGAAGATGAAGGACAGTAACAGAAGACGTTAACGGAGACAAACATAAATATTAAATGAGACGCTAAATTACCAAAATGCCCCTCCGTGTTTTTTTGGTTAATTAAGGGTTAATGGCCAAGAATAGAAAATAGATGGTTAAGATGGGCTCCTTGGTTCCTTGATCCATATTGGTTCTCTATTGAACTTTCTCTCTCTTTCTCTCTCTCTCTCTCTCTCTCTATATATATATATATATATATATATATATATATATATATATATATATATAATATATATATATATATATCATACATACTTATAAAGCTAGCATTTTTTCTTGAATCTCATGCGTTTGAAACCCCCATTCTTTTTTCCTTTCACCACATTCATTTGAAACTCCCATGACTTTTCAATTTATTTATAATAATAATTATAATTTGGTAATTAGGTTAAATAAATATCAAATCTAAAGTGTATTCATATATAAACTAAATTTCAATATTAAAATAATATCTTTAATTCTACTTATAAAATTATGTTTTTTAACTTTTAACATATTATACTTAATTTATTAGTTTTAATATATTATTGGATGTAAACCATTATCATTTTAAAGGTATAATTTTTGAACAATTTGTATAAAATACTTAAATTATTAAGTAAAATATAACATTATAGGCTCAACTTAAATATAAATTTTATTTAACTTAAACAACCCAAAGATTATTTTATAAATAGTTAAAAGTGATAAATTCTAGTGTCTTTCTAATAATGATTGTAAGTTGGTTAATAAGGTTAAATAAATATCAAACCTAAAGTGTAATCATAAATAGACTAAATTTCAATTTTAAAATAATATATTTACTTTTATTTATAAAGTTATTTCTTTAAATTTTAACATATTATACTTAATTTATTAGATTTAAAATGTTGTTGCATGTAAACCATTATCAGTTTAAAGCTATAATTTTTGAACAGTTTGGACAAAATACTTAAATTGTTAATTTAAATATAACATTACAGTGTCAACTTAAATATTAATTTCAGTTCCACTAAAAAAACCAAATAATATTTTGTAAATAGTTAAAAGTGATAAATTATAGTGATAAATGCAAAAAACTAAATTGTAATATCAGTTTAACTAAAACATTTCCTAAATATATTTATATAATCGTTAAAAAATTTCAAATAAGTAGCTTAAAATAACTTATAATAACAATAGTTTAAATATAACTCTATATAAATGATTATATTGTTACCTTTAAAATCAAAAAATAATGTTTGATGTTTTAAATAATTATAATGATAGAAATTAAAACATTAAGCAAATATATTTTCAAAAATTAGTTAAAAATAACAACTATAAATAATATTAAGCCATATATAATATTTAATTTTATTGATGTGTAACTCGCCAGTAGAAGTCATTCAAACGATTGAGATTATGACGTTATAATAGATTTATATATTATCATATAATTCAAAATAGTCAATATAATATATCAAATTAATATACGAATTATTATATCAAATTTAACAACAACGTTAGTGTTATGTTTTAAAAAATATATATTTGCAAACACTTCAACTATATAGGTGTTTATGCGCATTACAATGTCAACTCAAATATAAATATCAGCTTCATTTAAAAAAAACTAAAGAATATTTTGTAAATAGTTAAAAGTGATAAATTGTAGTGATAAAAGCAAAAACTAAATTGTAATTTCAATTTAACTAAAATATTTCTTAAATATATTTTTATAATCATTAAAAGTTTCCAAATAAGTAGCTTAAAATAACTTATAATAACAATAAATAAAAAACAATTCTATATAAATAATTATATTGGTAGCTTTATAATGAAAAAACATCATAAATGGTCCCTGTGGTTTCCCAAAATCTGAAGTTTGGTCCTCGTGGTTTAAAAACCTCATAAATGGTCCCTGTGTTTTCAAAACTTTTGATGTTTAGTCATTTTTGCTAACTCCGTTAAGTTTGTCCGTTAACTGAAGGGTATTTTTGTCATTTCACCACCACAGGGACCATTTATGATATTTTCAGTTCTTTTTTTTAAAAGAAAAAAACTAAATATAAGTATTTAATATATAAACTCTCTCTCTCTCTCTCTCTCTCTCTCTCTCTCTCTCCCTCTCAGGTGCCCTGTTCCAGAAAAGCGACATAGGTACTTCCGGTGAGTACCATTCCATTACTGACCATTGATTTCTCCATCCCAAAAACACCACACATGCCTCCTCCATCTATTCCAGAAACATCACACACGACCCCCCTTTTTCCTCCTGTCATCTCCAACCAAAGCAACCTTTTAGCACCGATGACCTTGAACCCAATTCGTCTCCAACTGTTTGGTTTGACAAAGTTCCGGTTGTTTGAGACAAGATAAGAGGAGATAAGAGTTCTTTACAATCCTTAACCATATGCATGATTAATCAAACAAACTAAGAATCAATTGATTTCAATCACAGTCAAACAAAGCCAATAGTTAAACAACCCAAGAATCCAACAGAGCCGAGAATTAAAGAAGCAAGCCAATAATGAAAAACAATTAAACAAAGACTAGAATCAAATTTATAGAAGGAGCTATCGATTTTAATGCCTGTAAACAGACAAACCAAGAATCAAACACAGTCAAACAAAACCAAAACTTTAAGACAAAACTTCATTTTGGATGAAAGAGGAATCAAAAAAATTAACCAAGAACATCAGGTACCGATTTGTGTGTGCGTGTGGGTTTTTAAATTATTCCTTTGATGATCAGATAACCATCGAGATGATCAGAGGGGGTAAGGAGCCTGGTTGTAGATAGGGGAGGAGGGCATACCCATTGAATTTGCAAAAAACGCGAAAAGGAAAAGATTTGATCGAATCAAAAATAGTGAAGATGGAGGGAGGGCATACCTGTAATGTAATGAATCGGAGGATTGGAGCTCAATTTCTTCAGAAGATCGCTATTTTCCGAACCGGTAACCCTAGGTTTAGCTAATTTTTCACCTGGATTGAATTTCTTAACACATATAGACACTTTTTTAGCTTGATAAGAGCCAAAAGGAAGATTCGAGGTGAAAATAGTAACTGATTTTGAGCCTAATTTTGCTTTATCCAATTGTCCTTCCAATGGCGTAGAAACATCGGGATCAAGATTTGGAGGGAAACCCTCCATAAAACCGAACGGAAACTAGGTACAAGAATAGAGAAGAAAATATGGGTCGTGATGGGAGCTGGTCCGATGGAGCGACACAAGCAGTAACAACAACACATGTGAGGATGTCTGGGTAGCTCAGATCAGCAACAAAGAGTGAGAAACATGATGGTGGTGGTGGCTGGTGATATAAGAATGAAAGGAAGAGAGAGAGAGAGAGAGAGAGAGAGGGAGGGTATAACCCCTTTGCATATTATTATTATTTTTTTTATAAAATAAAAGAAAACATCATAAATAGTCCCTGTGGTAGTGAAATGACGAAAATACCCTTCAGTTAACGGATAAAACTTAACGGAGTTAGCAAAAAGGACCAAACATCAAATGTTTTGAAAACACAGGGACCATCTATGAGGTTTTTAAACTACATGGACTAAACTTCAGATTTTGGGAAACCACAGGGACCATTTATGATGTTTTTTCCTTTACAATAAAAAAACAATGTTTGATGTTTTCAATAATTATAATTATAGAAATTAAAACATTAAGCAAATAAATTTTAAAAAATTAATTAACAATAAAACAACTATAAATAACATCAAATCATACATTATATTTAATTTTATTCATGTATAACTCGTGGGTACAATTCATTCAAACGATTGAGATTATGAAGTTATAATAAATGTATATATTATCATATGATTAAAAATAATCAATATATTATATCAATTTAGTATATAGGAATTATTATATCTAATTTAACAACAACATTATTGTTATGTTCAAAAAATCATATATTTGTAAAGACTTCAACTATATAGGTGTTTCTGCGCAACGCGCGTGCATTCGCCTAGTATATATATATATATATATATATATATATATATATATATATATATATATATATATATATATATATAGGCATAGAGTGAGCCATTGCTTTTATGCATGTGTCTATATATATATATATATATATACATATATATATATATATATATATATATATATATATATATATTGATATATGGTATTTTGGGGAACTTAATAAGCCTCGTGCTTACCCAATTGTTGTTAAATGATTTTCGGGTACTTTATGAGAAGGGGTAGGTTCGAATGTACACACATGCATTAGTCACATGTTTTCGTACAATGTAAACATACTTTGATATATTTTAATAAATAAAAAAAACTGCCTCGAAATTCGGGATGAGGCAAATATGATCAATGTCAATCCTTTAAGAACCCCAATGGTTGTTAGATCATTAAATATTGACAAAGATCCATTTCTTCCCCGTGGAGAAAATGAAGAAGTTCTCGGTCCAAAAGTACCATATCCAAATACGATTGGGGCTCTTTTGTATCTTACTAGCTATAATAGACTTGATATTTATTTCGTTGTAAACTTGCTAGAAAGTTTCAGTTCATCCACTACAAGAAGACATTGGAATGGGATCAAACATATTCTTCGATACCTTCGAGGAACTATGTAACATCCCAAAAATCAAAGTAAAATTTTCATTTTTAAACCATTCCAAAAACCATAAATGTTTACAACACATAGTTTATAAAAGTCATAATCACATATTAAAGTATCCTAAAATCATAATCTCATAAAAAAAAATCTCAAGGGTGTGCATGATCAAGCCTTCGCCTTGTCCATGTCCTATGAAGTACCTGGAACCATAACAATCAAATTGTAACCCAAAGCTTGGTGAGTTACCCTAAAGCACCATACATAACTCTACAGATAAAACATGCATATATGAGCCTTCAACTTGACTGGAACGCATCGCAGGGCCTACAACCTATTTGGACTGCTCTCTAGGCCTTCAGCCTGATTGGATCACCTTGTAAGGCTTCAGTCGATCCGGACCGCCATGGATATTTTGGCCTTCTTTACAAAGTAGGATAACCTCAACCTAACATTTAACATGTCGACATATATAATAACAATAAATAACCAACAAGTATGGGTAATCATACAAATCTACCGGTTTAACACATAATCAGTGAGCACAAGTAATCATATAGATCTACCATTGTATCATATAACCAACATAACATCAATCCAATATACAAGGATACATAATCCATTGGGCCGGAATTAGTTCCTTCGACCCACAAGTATAGTGATAAAAACTCATATCACAATCTAAAATGTAGTTAAACAGATCATGGCTCCAACTGGTAACTCTACCAGTCACCTATACAATAAAAAGTGACCTAAACACAAACTACCACTCAAATTATCCAAAATACCCCTAAGGAAAACTTTGTCAAATTCCTGGTTAATGTCAAAGTCTAAATTCAAAGGGGTCAACACATATTGAGTACGCCCAATGTACTCAGTCACTACACTTGGTGTAGTAGGTCCTTAGATAAAATATGGGGCCTTTGCCCAATACGTGCAGCGTGCCACCAGGTATGCCCGTTGTACTCAACCTGATCCTACTTTTCCTTATTAAGTTCTTATTCTATTAAGATTCGACGTCCAAAGCTCAGATCTAGTGCCAAATATCATTCTAATTCATAAAGTTTCCAACTTTATGACTTTCCATGGCTAGAAGGGGTCCAATAACCAAAACCTTAACTTAATACACAAACCAAAACATCATAACTCTTGCATGTAAGGAAGAAAGGGACCAAGATCACATTTTTATGGTTCCTAGCATTTAAAAACGTCTGAAGGGACAACTCTTATGGTTTAGAGTAAGCCATACTCGTGAATAACAAGATTATGGGACCAAAATGCATAAAAACTTAAGAACTAGTAAGATCCAAGGAAAACATTCATCAAGTTCCAGGATTTATACCTTCAAAGGATGCTTGAGGGTGAGATACTTATGGATGTAAGTTGACTTGAGCTTCCAAGATGATCTTCCACCATCTTCCTCCTTCACAAGCATAAGAACTCACTCTTTTTAAGCTCAAAATCACACACCAAAGAACTAGGGTTTGCAAGGGACATTTTTGGAAGATGGAGGCTGATCGGGGAAAGGTTTTTGAGGGATAAGGATGCTTAAATAGTGCTCAAACCCTAAAATTAGGGTTTTCTCACCTGCCAAGTACACCTAACATACTCATGAGTACGCCCAACTTACTCACATGCACACACACTTTTTAATGAACTACACCAAGCATACTCCCAAAGTACGCTTGGAATAAGGACTAATTTTGCAACATAATTATACTTTTAGGTTAAAAAAGAAAATACTTGATGTTTCAATGTTACAAACTACTGACTTATGGTTATTTTATCCCAAAAATTCAAACCAAGGCTTGATTTCCTGGCATTCTCAAAAGCTAGGTCTCAAAGTGGATACGCATTCATCAATGGAGGTACCATAATTTCCTAGCATTCTCTAAAGCAAACACTTGTTACGACATCCTCAAATCTTGTTAAAGTAATTGCACTAAATGAAGCTAGTAGAGAATGCACATGGTTAAGATCGATAAGACAACTCATTTTGTCTTCATGTGGACTAGATAAATATGAAGGCCCAACTTTGATTTATGAAGATAACTCAGTATGTGTCGCTTAAATGAAAAAAGGATATATCAAGAGTGTCTGGACAAAACATATACTTCTAAAGTTCTTTGTGTACATTCAAGAGATTATAAAATATTGATAAAAATATGTTAAATCCAACTACACAGCAACATATCTCTTCACGAAGGCACTCCCTACTACAATATTTTGAAAGCATGTGAATGACATCAGAATGTGAAATATGCATAACATATAATGTAACAGGTGTCTAAATGAGAGGGAGTTAACCATACAGTGCACTCTTTTTCCCTTCGCTAAAGTTTTTTTCCACGAGTTTTTCTTTAGCAAGGTTTTTAATGAGACAGTACTTCAAGTTGAAGTAAGATTAGAAAATTTTTCATCCAAGGGGGAGTGTTATAAATTCCATCAAATTATTGAGTTAGACTATGCATGTGGATGAACAATTTTCACCCCTAGAATAATTTCCTTTACCTATTGAATTACTATTTTGATAATGCATGAATAGTATGTTATGTTGTATAAATACCCATAAAATGTAAAGAGAAAATCACACTATCCAAAATACAATCTTCTAAGTGTTCAAGAATCCTCTTAAATCCCCTTATTTTATTTTATAATGTTTTAGTTTAGGTTTGTTAGTTTTAGTTATAATTACTTCAAATTTATAACACACACACACATATATCTATATATATATATAATGACTCTTACAATTGTTTTTTCATAAGTTATACTTAAAGTTGCAGGTGTTGAAGCTTGTATTATGCCTATTGGGTTCAAAATATGACAAATTGGCCTTGATGTGGCCCATCTGGTTGTAGTGGAAACAGATGCGCACCCCTTGTGCCTTCTGATCACATTCTCGGTTGTAATGTCCTTTTTTGTCGCACTTGTAGCTTATTAAAGCATGATAGACTCCTACATGAGTGTTTCCACACTTTCTACATTGAGGACGTCTTTGTCCTCCATTCCTTGAATCTATGTGCTTGGATCTCTTGGCTTCTACCTTGGATGGAGATGGAGTCTGCCTCTTTTCCTTCGCTTGATTTTCCAACTCAATTTCCCTTCTCCTGGCATACTCCTACATCTCTACTAAGGTCTCGTATCGATTTCTTGATACAAACTCCCTAATATCTATCTTGAGAATACTTAATTATCAAGACATTTAAACTTGTTCTGATGAAGCATACTCATGGCAGAACAAGGCCCTCTCAGTGAACATCTTAGTGATCTCAGTTACTAATTTAGTGATCTGTTTGAGAGACAGATACCCTTGAGCGAGTCGCTCTTTCTTTACTGGAAGAATGTACTCTTCCTTGAACTTCTCAATGAACTATTCCTAAGTCACCGTACTCTTCTCCGGCGGTGAATAGTTCTTGGTGACAACGTTCCAGTAGTCTTTTTCTCCTAGTCGTAGAAGATTTTGTGTATATCTGAACTTCAAATTTTCCAGACAAGCACAAGTGTAGAAGCATCCTTTTACATTGAAGATTCATCTCATTGCAACAATTGCATCCCTAACACCTTCAAACTTTGGGGCTTGGTGTTATTGAACTCCTTCTAGGGCATTTACTTCTCCCTAAGCAAGATTGCGGCAACAACGACAATAGTAGCTGCTGCGATAGTGGTGCTAGTTATGGAGGCATACCGTTCGTCAAACATGGCGATTAGTTCGATTTTGATAGATTCGAACATCTTTGTAATCATTTGCCTTACTGCAGCTGATATTGTTGCTTCTAT